TATATATAATCTTTATTTGTTCCGCGTAGGATTACAAAGAACTTCTGCTGCATGTATTTAATTGCATTATATTTTATCTGATTTCTTTTGAGAATATTAAAGAATATATATATTATCTGTCGACAAGGTATACACCGAAATTGGTACGCGGGTAAAATTGTCTCCTCTTCGAAGGATGACACTACCGTACATGATAAGCAATTTGAGATGGTTAAATCCGAGATCTCTTGTGATATTGGATACTCAAGAGAAGTTGCATTTGTTAGACGTAAGAGCGCAGGATAATTTGGAGACATTAGACATGAGTCGCGTTGGTATTTCTTATGCTTCTAGTCATTTTAAGGGACTATCTACTGGCGGAAATGTTTCTAAGGTACAAAGACTGGTATGTCAAGGACACAAAGAAGTGTATTTAATACTACATTTGTAATATATTTTACGTAGGCGATGGCGTTAGCCGGTGAACGGGCATGCTACAACACCGTTATAGTTTTTGGTACGCAGCTGTTGTTATTAGGAACAAAGAGTTTACATGTGATATGTATGAGAACGTGGACTGAAAGATTGCAATATTTGATCGTACAGGTCAGTTTAAAGCGATGCAAAGGATCTGATTATGAGAGTACGATGTTATAAATGAATATAAATTAACAGGCAATTGAGAGCAAAAATTTGATGCAGTTATTAGAGCGTTATAGTTAACAAATGTATTTTATAGAGTTACATATAGTTAGACAAAATTGGACGTTTCGGCTCAGTTCGAGCCATCTTCAGCGATATCCAAATAATAAATTATACATTAGTAATTGTTTGCAAGAGGCTCTTTCGGCTGCACTCTTGGATTTAATTATTGCGAAGAATTGCTAATGTGTAATTTATTTGGACATCGCTGAGGATTGCTCGAACTGAGCCGAAACGTCCGATTTTGTCTAACTGTAAGATCTAGGAAATACATTTGTAGATAGATATTTCCTAGATATGTTAAGAAATACATTTGTTAACTATAACGTTCTAATAACTGCGTCAAATTTTTGCTTTCAATCGCTTATCAATAATTTATATTTATTTGTTATCTCGAGAGTTTAATTTATTTTTATTTTATTTATTTAAGATTATAAACTTGCGTCAAAAAGAGTCAAACATGAAGTTAACGATTAATAAATTATAATGTATTTTGAAAGAGAATTATACTAATACAAATGTTTTAGCTTATATTAAGTCATCCTCAGTGGATGTTAAAATGAAAACTTACAGTATAATCATATGTAATAACCAGTCAACGCAATAGTGATTGTCGCTAATAGATAAAAATACATAGGCCAGTTTAATAAAAAACGCAAGAGATGCGTACTATATGTAGTCAAGAATTTAGATTTGTTTAAAGATTAAAAAAAAAGGAGAATGAAATTACAATGCCATTAGTCATTTAGTACAAAGCAACTTGGAATTATTTGAAACACAGTGGAAGCAAAAAGCTTATTGGTTAAACGGCAATGGTTGAAAAGTCATATGATCAAGCAGAATTATTTAAGTTTAATACGTTATACAAACGAATGATTCTGATTAGTCGTATTACTTTTCTGAGATTCCGTTTTCCGGAATTCCGATTGTCAAGGGGAAACATTCTAAGTTCAATTATTATAACTATGAGCGATAACTATACTATTGCGTTGATCAATTATTACAGTTTTAGCGAGAGTTCTCGTTAGATCTAGCAGAGTTCTATATTCTACAATCATTTTTAAATAGAGTCCGGCTACGATTACCGCTATATATTTTTAATAAGTGTCGTGCTAGATCCAGATATTAAAAAATTAATTAAACATTTTTTGTGGCTGGAATTTAGTTAAAAAATGATTGTAGAGTGTAGAACTGCTAAATTTAACGAGAATTCTCGCTAAAACTGCTATAAGCAATCGGCACGACACTTTCTCCAAGTGTCGTGTTGTCTTCTATATTGAAAATGTATAAAAATAAGTAATTGTTGGAATTTTGTGTTCAAAGTGCGTTTTTTATTAAACTGGCCTATGTATTTTTATCTATTAGCGACAATCACTATTGCGTTGACTGGTTATTACATATGATTATACTGTAAGTTTTCATTTTAACATCCACTGAGGATGACTTAATATAAGCTAAAACATTTGTATTAGTATAATTCTCTTTCAAAATACATTATAATTTATTAATAGATCTTTAGTAGAATTAACGGTAACTGTTGTATTATCACTAAAGTGATAATATTTATCATTTTCTTATACTTTAGAGGAAAAATGTTGTGCTAGTTTCGCGAAGTTTTTCGTTTCTTTTTTACATAGAACTGTAGAATTACGAAAAATGCTGGAACTGTTTTTCATTATTTGTTTGTCTTTATTTTTTTTATATTAATAGAATGTCGTGCTAACTTCACATATCCAAAATATTTGGATATTGTATTAAGTAAGGGTGACTCCAGGCGACGTGGCTAATGTACGTCACATTAGTAAATATTAAGAGTCATCTACATAAGTTGCAAACGCAGAACACAGTTCGCAGACGCATTTGTGATAGAAATGAAAGCTGTTATTAGTACCATTGACGCTTCTGATTGGCTGTCGTTCTGCGTTTGCGATTTACGTAGATGACCCTTTACACACGCGCGCGTACACGTATGCACTCTCTCTCTCTCTCTCTCTCTCTCTCTCCCCCCCTCCTTCCTCTATCCCTTCATCCCTCTTTCTATATATGCACGCGCACGCCCACGCGCATGTCCACGCCCACGCGCATGTCCACGCCCACGCGCATGCCCACGCGCATGCCCACGCGCACGCACGCACGCACACATACGTCTGCATAATTATTCATGTTGTGGCCGGCGAAAAAATTGACGGAGTCTATCGAGATTTAAATCCCTCGTTTACAAATGTAACAGTCGGTATGCTACACCAACGATATCGAGAAATATGATTCCCATACTTTTTGGATGGTCACGAAGGCAGCTACACCTATCCGACACGTACAATTTTCTTACTCCATGTAAAATTGTACGTTTTCGGATAAGCATGGCTGCCTTCGTGTCCATCTAAAAGATATGGGAATCATATTTCTCGACAATAGATATTAAAATTATGTAGACAAAAATTCAGCCATATCGCTATTGATTAAAAAAAAAAAAATGTATTACTTTGATCCAGTATAGCGATCTTTTTTACCCTTCCGAGGAGTATGGGAGTCCATCTGCCTTAGAATAAGGGTATTAACTATCGGCAACAACATTCAACTTTTACGCTTTCAATAAAAAAAATCAAAATCTGCAACATTTTGAAAAGACACCTCCTCTTCAAGCGACCGTGTCCGGGCTTAGAAATATATGTACTGTTTTTATGTTTTACGTGAAATAAAAGTTTACCTACTTCCCATACTTGTCGCTTTGGATAACAAAATCACTATAGTGGTCTCATGGTCTACCATAATTATTCAGTTGTTTATGTATATTTTAAATGGCCTCCCTCCCTCTCCCTCTCTCTCCCTCCCTCCCTCTCTCTCTCTCTCTCTCTCTCTCTCTCTCACGGTTCTCTTTATTTTCCTATAATATAAATATAAATATTTAGTGAATGTTCGTAAAGTTGGTATACATAGTCCATGTCATTTGAAGTCGCTTTAGTTCTCTTCCAAAATACATTATAATTTATTAAACATATAATTTAGGCTGTATATACTATATTATACTATATATATATATATATATATATATATGTATATATATACAGGGTGTTAAGTTTTTGTCATACTCAGCAAAGCGATTCTTTGATTTATTTCAAGTCCACATAAATATATGTCCTAAACGGTTGTTTCCAAAATAAAAAAATTTAAATGTGTAGTAATAATCTGTTTATTTGAAAGAAATACAGCTTGAACTAGTCAAAAACTAGTTAAAAACAGAAAAACAAAATCAGGCTTCAGTTCCTCTGATGAAATAAAACAATTAGATGAATTGTTGAAAATGTCCACTTTGCGCATGATACATCCATCGAGCCTTCTTCTCAAAGATTGACGTACATGCTCAAAGATACCAGGTATGTTACGTATTGCCTCGCATGAAAGCAACTATTCGATTCCTCAAATCATTCTCATTCTCAATTGGGGTGGTATAAACCAATGATTTCAGATGCCCCCAAAGGAAATAATCCAAAGGATTTAAATCTGATGATCTAGGAGGCTAAGGTTGAGTTCCAGCTCGCTTTATCCAGCGATTATTGTACACCTTATTCAAATATTGACGAACTGTGATGCTAAAGTGGGCTGGAGCGCCATCATGCATGAACCACATTGCATGTCTCATCATGAGTGGCACTTCTTGTAAAAGTTGAAGTAGATCTTCAAGAAATTGCCGATATGATGCACCATCAAGTCCTAATGGAAAAAGTAGAGTCTAATTAAGAAATCATCAACAATATTAACCCATACATTCAATGAAAATTGTTGTTTGAACCTAGATTCGACTACCTTATCTTCACGCCATAAATGGTTATTATGAAAATTAATAATTGCGTTTCTGGAGAAGTTAGCTTCATCGGTGAAGAGAACTTGAGATGAGAATTAAGGATTTTTTTCAAGTTTCTGAAAAATCCATTGATAAAAAGCTAGTCTTTGTGGAAAATCGCATGGTAAAAGTCTCTGTACACATTGAATGTGATAAGGATATAATTGTTGGTCTTTCAAAATTCTCCAGATGATATAATTACTCACATTTAATGTCCTAGCTATTTCCCTTGTGCTCGTTTCTGGATGTGCTTCGATTTCGTTAAGAACAGCTTCCTCTACTACTGGTGTTCTAACTGTCAGGCTTTCCAAGATCAACAGTATTCCTTACAAAAGAACCCTTTTCTCGAATAGCGGTGAATATTCGCAAATGTTGTACGACATGGTAAATTGCATTGGGGATATCTTTCTACATAAATACGTCTTACCTTGCGTGAGTTACCATTTGCAAGACCGTAGGCAAAGTGCATATCTGCCATTTCAAAATTTGTAAACTTAGGCATGATGAAACCGATTTTGATAGACTAAAACAATTTGACCCGAAAACGTATGTACAAGCTAATTGATCCGCAGCAACATCAGAGTTAAAGTTTATTTTTGATTTTGTGACTTTGACTTTGACTTTGTCACTTTGTTTACGGTTATGCGAATGGTAACGCATATGAAGCAAGGCATATTTATGCAGGAAGATATCTCCAATGCAATTTACCGTTTCGTCAAACATTTGCGAATATTCACCTGTATTTCGAAACTAAGCCGTTTATGACACATGTTTATATGGACTTTTTTATTTGAAATAAACCAAAGAATCGCTCTGTTGAGTATGACAACATACTTAACTAACACTGTATATATATTATAATTTAGTGCCTAGTTCATTGTCCTTTATTGGTAACATAAGTTTAAATTTTAATTCACTGAAGCTTAATTGAATATTTACATTAAAAAATGTTTTGCATTTTAGAAACGTTTTCCCGAAGCGTTAGCGTTGGGTCTTTCTTTTTATCAAGACAAAGGCAAGGCGGTTATCGGTCTACGAGGTTCTAAGCAGCGTCGCAAGCAAATAGCACGCGATAAAGTTTGTGAAGTATTGGTGCAGTATATGGACGAATTAAACCAATGTTTGATAGACGAAAATACAGGTTACGATACGATAGTGCTCACTTGCGTTGATTACTGCATTCAGCTGGAAAACTTAGATTTGTTGTTCGGAAATTTGTGGGATATAGTCTTTGAGTCGGAAGGGCTGAAAACTAGTTATTTGCATGCTCTCGAAGCTCCTCTGCTAGACGGAAGTCTTCAATCGAGATTGCCGCCATTGATTGCCCAGCAATTAGTCACTCTTTATGATCAAGAAGATAAAGTAGATTCGCTGGAAGCGATTGTAGTTTTGCTCAATGTGGATTGTCTAGATATTCATCAAGTAAGTCTCAATGTTAGCAAGCGATGAAAAATAGACATTTACGTTTGCAACGTCATTTTATGATTTTAGAATGTATTTTTGTCCATAGGTAACGACAATTTGTCGTCAACGAGGACTTTGGGAAGCGCTAATTTATCTTCAGACAACAGCGTTGGGCGATTTTACAGCACCCATTCATCAATTGGTACCAGCACTTCAGAATTTATTACAGGATCCATTAGCCGCCCTTTCCCGAGACTGTATAAAACTCGGTAACGCCATTCTAGTTTATACTAGCTGCTGTCTCGCTGGTCGTGGATTTCCCAAGGATGAGCTCCCTGAAGGCATGCCACAAAAAGCGAAAGCAGACATATTGAGAGCCCTGTTATCTCAGCATTCCAGTTTGGCAAATGATATGGAGAGGCAATATCCATATTTGAGAACATTACTACAATTCGATGCGAAAGGCTTTCTTGATGTTATTGCCATCGCCTTTCAGGAACCAGAATTTACCTCCGAAATGGGTCTCCGACATCGACAAAGGCTCATAGACATCTTGTTAAGTATTGTTATGTCGAATACGCCACTTACTCCGAAAAATATTGATTACATCACGCTGGAGCAACAATTTATGGTTCTTATATTCGTGGCAAACGAAGTGTGTGAAAGCACTATTACGTTAGAGTATAATACGCTGAATAAAATGATAGATATATTATGTATTGACGTGCACATGGAATTGTCGAAGGATTTTAGAACTGAGAGAGAAAACGCTGTGTTGGGATTGTTGCATTCTAAAAAGTTGTGCAATATTTCTGATAATACTTTGTTAAATTTAGCAAATAGAGCAAGCTTGTAAGTATTTTTAATTGATTTATTAATCTTTATGCTTTTTTATTGGTTATATATAGTGTTTCACACTTAATGCACTACCTGCTAATTGCAGATTCTTAAAGTAATTTTGAGACGAAAGATCTAATATCAAAACGTCGAGATTAAGTTTTTAAATTAATAGCAATTAAAGTTTACCGATCATGGAGCAATTTCGCACGCTCGGGCATGATGATATAACAAATGCTGAGGGTATGTCATAATGGCTCTCTCAGTAACCTCAAGATTACCATATAAATATTTTTATTAAGAAATTGTTCTTGCTTCTATACAGAATCTGTTTGTACGCATAATTAATATCGAACTATATAACAAAATATTAATTTAATAGCGATATTATGACATGTGTGTATCAAAAGAAATTCATTATCATGTCCTTGTTTTGTATGCACGGTAAATATTTTTGTAAGAATTAGATGAACTATTTTTAACATAAAAAGAATTAAATATGCAAGAACGGTACATTTTATTATTAGAAAATATTATTAGGCATAGATTTAGCATATCGTATAGGATCATATAGGACGCATCTCGATTTATAATTTAGTTTGTTGTATGTATTCTGTGAATGACGTATTAAAAACAGTGTAAATAAAATTTTACAAAGACTACAAAATATTTCATGATTGTTTATAAATTCGTGTATATTTTAATTATAAGTAAGAATTATGTACATTGATTTATTGTCTATGAAATTTAACGACATACATACATGTTTTGATGTAATTTATATCACTTTTTATATTTTTAACTTTTTTCAACATCTTAACTAGGATAATTATTAAGAAATACGTATATATAGTAATTTGATTTAAGTACATTAATGTTAGTTAAATTAGTATTTTATACATATTTTAAGTATTGCTTTATTAAAATATTTGATTCTTTTTACGTTAAAAATAGTTTTATTTATTAAAAAAATAGATAATATAATAATACCGTACATACAAAGCACACGATTATGGTTATGAATTTATTTTGATACATATCTAGCTATTAAATTGATACTTTGTATACTTTGATATTAATGATGTGTAGTGCTTACATAATATAAAACAAATTTCGTATAGAAGCAAGAATAATTTTTTAATAGAAATATTAATGCATATTTGTATGATAATCTCGAAGTTGCTGAAAGGGCTCTTGTGACATATCTTCTCATCATTGTCATATCATTATGCCTGAGCGTGTGAAATGTCAGCTTTGTGATTTTTAATTATTACTAATAGTGAACTTTAATTATTACTAATTTAAAAACTATTATAGTCTCGACATTTTGGTATTAGACTTTTCGTTTCAAAATTACTTCAAGAATCTGCAATCAGCAGGTAGTATGTTAGGTCTGAAACGCCCTTACACACACACACACACACACACGCGCGCGCGCGCGCGCATAATACATTATCGTATTTATGTTGTAGTATAAGAGTCGTGGAATTACTGTACAGTGCACGAGAAGATTGGGTGGCAGTATGCGAGTGCATGATCCTGGAGCCATTAAGGCATCACGATGTGTGGCCTTGGCTAGAGCATCTGCCGGCTGCTTCGTTAGATCAAGTTATATCGGTTCACACTTCAACTCTTCTGACGATTAATGCCAATCAGTTTGCTATGATTGTTGCAACACGATTGCAGAACAAGATTGATGCAATACTACAGAATCTTACCGATAATTTAAGCTTAGAATATAAACTGTTTGGAGCGTTGTATCAGATCGTACAATACAAAGAGGAGGATGTTTCTTTGGAATTAACAACTGAGCACTTGGAGAGATATTTAGCGTTAATGTGCGAATTGGAGCCGGCACGCGTAGTTGCTCACTTGCACGGACCACACGGGTGTAGGTTGGATGAGGCGTTAAAGATTGTCCAGAAATGGAATTGTAAAGATGCAGAGGCGGTTATGCTAGAGAAGCTTGGTAATTATCAGCAAGCATTTGATCTTTTGTTGAAAGAGTTTGAGAATTGCCTGGAGATGTACCAGCAAGATAAAGCTTCGGAAAGCGAAATGGTGCACACTGCCATTCAACTCGCTGGGATATGTCGGAGATCTGCGGGGAATCTCGACTGGATGCCCCTAGTGGAAGTTATGTTTCGATCACATTCAGAGAATAACAGGCAGAAGGTGGATATATTGAACGGCAAATTGTTGAGATTAATTCTAGAATCTTTGAGTGGTACATCGATATTGTCGAATATATTGGAGCAGATCCTGAGAAATCCGTCAGCAACGAGTGGAACAATGGGTGACATACGGCAACTGCTATCCGGAGTCCTCACTCAATCGCGATATGAGCAAACCCTCGTCGAAACTACCGCTCGATTAGTGAGTTTGGAGCTTCATAAGGCTCTAGAAATATCCTTGAGGTATCTTGGAAATTCTGATGATATAAGAGATATTTCATTCTTATGTTCACTTACCATTACTATCTCAGATTGTCAAAAGCGAGAAAATACAAGATAAAAATTTTTGCAAATTTGAATAAAAACATTTTTCAATAAAACAACACTTGTAATCAATGGAATAATAATTTATTGGAAATCATTTTCTTGTTTCAGGAAATTAGAAATCATATACAAATTATTTTTATATATTATTAATTTGTCATAACTGCGGAACATAGTTTATTTAATTTTATATATATATATATTTATATATATGATACAAAATTCTAAAAAAATTCGTAAAGTTCTATGAGAAGAAAATAAACAATTTTCGTCTCTTACAGTTTTTGTGTAAAGTTGATAGTATTTTAGTTGATGACGAAGTTAATGAAGACCAATTTTCGGCAATTTTTAGCAATTAATATCTTGTTAACTATTGCGAAAATTGCAAAATGGTAGAGGACTTTTCTTATCAGTTTAGTCCATTCCGCCCCTATGCAAAAGATTATTTTCCAAACATTCTATATATACACATGCATAATTAATTTCTAGATATATTGGCTATTTATTAATTAATGAAACAAAAAGAAAGTTTTCGGTATTTTACAAGTTGTTTCTATCGCTTTAAATGTTGAAACATATTATCATATTAATATATTGTGCAAAAATTTTGATTGTATATTTTTTCGCTTCCAATATAATCTGAGTAGTAGTAATGAATGAATCGGAGCTTTAATAAAGTGCAGAAATCCGCAAAGCTTCACGATGAACCTCATCGAATAGTTCAAGATGCAAGATTTTCTTGATAATAATGAAGCAGAAGGAAAGATTTCATCTAAATTGAATGATGAAAAGCACGTAAAATCAAAGAGGTTCATCGTGAAACAGACTTTTTTTCTGTTGAATGTTATATACATATATCAATTATATGCAGCGATTTTTCTATCATTCAGGGATGCTGGTAGAGCATGCGGCAATATTTCTATAACTTGCCCCTTATGCAAACAACCATTGTCGCATTGCCCTGATCACGTGGTAGTATTTGGCTGTGGTCATGGATACCACTTAACATGTCTGGGTGAGCCTAAGTCGTGTTACAAATGCTTGAATACAAAAGGATGGGCGCCCATCACTACCAACGTGGCGCACACTGTTGCGCAGCCGCCACTGGTTAGTTGTAACAGCAATGTATCTTCTCGTTACCTTTCATTTTATATACTACAGGAATACTATTTTGTTCACTTCTATTTTATAGAGAAAGAAACAACTTCTTCCGCCAGAATTTTTACATCACAAAGATCTTGTATTAAGACTAGCTCCATCCTGTTCTATTCCTGATCTTGAGGGTATCTTTTAAATCTAGTCTTCGACTATCAAGAATGATGATCGCGTTTGTGGGCAGTATGTAGTATTTTTAAGATATCAAAATGAATGTGTACAATGTACTGTACTATACATATATTAAGGATAATCCACATATTGTCTAGTACCAGAGCAAGAGGAGAGATTAAGCTCTTTCCTTGTGAGATTTGATTTGTTTGATGCGCATTAATGTTTATGATACGTTGCCAAATATAAATTATTGAAATACATTTATTATATATATTGTTTATATAACATTATATTATTCTCTTCCAACGTGTAACTTCATACATTTATATTGTTTCCTCGACTATCATTGATGAATCCATTTTGTGTTTTATTTTAATAATGAAAACTGGTTTCCTAGGCACATTATCTGCTAAAACGCAACACGGATCTATAGGTTCATCATCAAGTAACTCACCGGTGAGAAGTTTTGCGACAATTGGAAAAACGTCCAGTTTTAGACATTTAGATTTGTCGATTGGTGATATGTTAATATTTGAGACATATGTGTCTACATCAGATTCTAGTTTAACAAGGAATGGATTCAACTTCAGTATAGCTATATATTGTCGTAACTGTAAATCAAAAAGGATCGCTAATATAATTTGCTCATAGAAAGTCCTATAAGCCTATACATATTTTGCATACTTTTCTTATAATATGCAATGATGTATTAAATGTTAAAAGAAGTAGATACGTGCCTTATCATCAGATTTTTCGAGATTACATAATAAATCTTCAGTTTCATTTAACAAAACATAACACTTTGCGAGATATTCACGACTGTATTTGGTCTCATGAATGTACAACAACTCCCTTGTTAAAGATTTCTCTCTTTTTATCTTTTTAAGGAGCAACGATAACGGTATTCCCGATAGCGTACGACTACCCACTTGTATCTTGGAACATTTTTCATAGACCTGTATAACTCATGCGCCAATCCTGTAAATATTTATACAAGACATCCATAAATGTAAAATATAAAAGTTTTACCTGCTTATTAATAGAGTTCCATGAACCAACAATCCTGTTTATAAATTGTTTAAAGTCGCTCGTAGAGGTATAATTCTCAGATAAATATAATAACGACTGGAGTTTATCTGTTAGATTGCACAACAATTTACGAAACAACTCGAATTTATCATGAAATTCAAGAGCTACGTCTGGACCGTGACCTTCCGACTTGAGAATGTTCACCTGTATAAAAAAATGTATCCATCGTATGTGTAAAATTCGTTTGACTGCACATAATTTTGAAACGCTTAAAAATGAAACGTGTTCGTGTGTGTTCCGATGTTTATATATTAACTCACATTCTTTTCGAGAATTTGTACAATGTCATGAGTCGATATGTCGTCGGTCGTCATGATGGTTGTTTACAGAAATTATTTTAGATATACCTTGTCAAACTGTTAAACAAACTTATTTCCATGGTCAACTCGACATCATCCGAAACGCGATAGTCCTTTTTTCAGAAGATAGATATATTCAGTTTGTTTCTTTTTATTGATTGTTGACTTATATAAACGACATTATTGTTTTCCTTTCGTATACATGGGGATACAACTTCGGATGAGAAAGCATTTTGTATTCTCGTGTGTACATACATGTAGTACGTACATACATAAATTTGATGTTGATTTGCTTGCATAGCATAGCACTTTATAACATCGCGTATTAATTTCATTGATATGACATCTTTACGTTTCGTTAACATTCCTGTTTTTTTCATTCAATAATGATATAATGAGATATCGTATGGGATGAGATAATTGAGAATTGACTTCTTCATGGATCGCTTAAAAAATTAACTTATTAGCTTTATAATTTTAATCGCTAATAGCGATTTCTTAACGTTATAAGCGCTCCTGGACTATATCATAAGTAACGTATATGTTACATATTCGGTATTATTATTTTATATAACTATATGTTATTTAGTTATACACAATTATTGTAATAATTGCAGTAGAAACATATTTAAATTCATATTTAAATTCGCATTTACTGATAGGGGAGTATGTGCTGTAATTTATAGTAATAAAAAGTAGCGCAACACTGCCATCAAACGTGCTAATTGCTAATCTGCGCCTTTTGCTTCGAAACGAACGCCTCATCAAACATTATTATAACTCTAGTCGTTTTCGTAGACTATCTCCTTTAACATTGTTTCTCACAGGGGGGAAGAGTACCTCTATACAAAAAAAAAGAGGACGGATTATTATATATATATATATTACATATATGCAATTTAATTTATTATAAATATTTGATTTTTTTTAAAAGATATAGAATAAATTGCTACTGTATTACTTAAATTTCATGTAGAAGTTTAATATAAAAGCATTTGTCTAATTTTTTCTTTCTTTTTTATATTGCAAGGTTATTTATCACCATATATATATTGCTAATAAAATTTCTCTTATTATTTTATCACTGATTACAAGAGGAATAAAATACAATACGTAAGAAGTTTATATGATACTTTAGATAAGGAATAATTTAATAACAAAATTAATTTTTGTATTTACTAAATGTGTAATTTCGAATTTCTAATTTAGATTTAATTATA